CTGCCCCGTGAGACACGTTCTGAAACACGGGGCACGCGGCCTGATCCGGAGAAGGCAGCACCTGCTCTCTCGGGGGCTGCTAGAAGACCTGACTACCATTTCACTGAGGTTTTTTGTCATTTAGTATCCTGGATGCTACACATCCAGCGGGATGGGGTGGGGTGGTGAGAGACACTGTATACATGCATGAATTTACCAAGGGTGTTTAAATACCTGCATTTCATTTTTTTTCTTATATATAATTATATACATATTTGTTCCTTTTTAAAAATTAGGTTGGTATATTTCTACTCTCAGAAAGAAACGTCCCAATTCCTCTGAGTCATGATAAAGTCTGCAAAATGGACTGGGGGAGGGGGCTGCTGGAAGGCCTTGCCCCAGCCATCACCTGGGAGGTCACATGAAAAGGAAAAGACAACCTGAGAGAGGAGGTGAAAGTAGTGCAGGCTTCCATACACACAGCTCCTGGGTGATACAGAGGGATGGGGAAGAAGAAGGTGTTACCTGCCTGCAGCAGGAAATAAATAGTTTGCTGTCCTCTCAGGCTGCAGCCCTTCCTACTGCCCCAGTTCAAGAGAGCTCTAGAACAAACTCAGGAGTTCCACAGGTAAAGCATTACTGTTTACAACCTAAAGAAAACCCCAAAACTACTCATTTTGACCAGGAATGTTGTGTTGGAAGGGAAAAAAAAAAATCTATGTGAAGAAGATAGGTAAGTCCAAATTATTTTTTCAGGCTTTATGTTATACAAGTAACTCATCTTAATATAGGTATCTTCATGCGCCTATGCTAATACCGACATGAACCAGTAAGAGGGATCACAAACCAGTAAGAGGGACAGACTCAAGTTAGTACCTCCTCCGTCAAGCCTCTTCACTTCCCAGGCAGTTACCATTCTGTATTTCTCTGCCTGGCCCAATAGACAGCCTATGGTGAAATATATTCACAAGGTGCAACAAAATGTAACACATTTAAGCTCTTTGTTCTCTAAACTAGGAATTTTTAGGAATATTTCCTACTGCCAGCAATAGGAAGTTAGCTGGGAAGAATCAGTTGGATCAGTCTCAAATTATAAAGAGTAACACTATCTCCTCACCCCTCTCAGCCACAAACTCATGGCACCAGAATCTCCTTTACTAGGCTTCTACTATTCTATTTGTAACACGAAAGCCTTGAACAAACAGCTCATGACTTTGCCATTTAATAAAAAAATAGTTGCTTAGAGAACAGCAAGAGAAGAAACAAGAGGCCCAATAGGACACATTTGAAAGCAAACCCTTTCCAATTCATTCTTCAATTACAGTTCACCATCTCCAAGTCCTAAATCTACTTTCCTGAAGCCTTTTGGTATTTTATCTTCCACAGGTATTGGCCAAATGGTGTTCTTCAGGCCAAGACCATCTGTTTTCCTGAGTCTCCTACATATATTACTCTAAATTTATTTTAAACTACACAATCATCCTCCAGCTGATCTACTTGCCCGACACTTCTCTTACCATCATTCTGATTGGATTTTACCTCTGGTTTCCTGTATGCAGCTTTGACTCCAAGCAAAATCCATTCCAGGAAACAAAACCCACTGCGATCAGCTTAAAAATCGGATTTGCTTCACACAACTCATTTCCAAGGAACTTTGTTTCATATCTCAATGCCAGCTTCACTGCTTGTTGCTCTTTACCATAATGGGAATTTCATTCTTGCCACTGGCTCTTCTGTATAACTTCTGACCTTTTTGTCACTACCTCAAAGTTTAAATAATAAAATGGAATAAAATTGCACAAGGAAGTAATATAAAGAACCCTCAAACCGTTATCAACAGTACCAAAAGATACCTAGGTTGAAGGGACTGCTATTTTTCCTGAGTGTCTTGTGGCCCCAATACTGCAAGAAATTTCCTGCATACTAGGACATATGTTCACAGTCTGAAAGTGGAGGAACTTGTCACCTCAAAAGCAAGCCTGACCCACACTAACTCCTCACAGACCAAACATGACTGTCATTATACATTCCACTCGTGGCATCTCCAGCACACCTTTTCACTCATAGAAGCTGCCAGAAATTTCCTTTGTGGTTTTCAACTTGCTTTCCTTTGCCAAACCTGTCTGTGCAAGAGAAGCTGTCCATGGGACCAAGCACACCAGCTGATTCAGCACAGTGCAGTGCAGAGACAGGACTACAAAATTACACTTTTGAAGTTTCAGAACAAGCCCACAGAAGGAAAGGTTAGCAAAGACACCTGAAACATGACTAGGCAGATATTTAAATTACATGTAGAAGTAGCTGGCAAGCTCTCAAAGTGCTCCACATACTGCCAAGTCCTGAAGCACTCAGCAGTGGTGATCAGGCAGCAAAAACCTGTTAGGTAGAGAGAGAACTGCAGATTATTCAGCCCTAGAAATATTCAGAAGAAATAGGTTGTCCTCCACTACTCTGGCCAGCCTAATAGAAAAAAGGCTACACTGCAGATCTGCAGTCATAGAAAGACAGAGAAGTCAACAGACCACACTTCCAAGGACCACAGGTTTTCAGAGAAATGACAGCCAGGACAGTAAAATAGAAGAAAACTGCTTCTAGCCTGTAACCTGTGTAACCAAGTGATGCAAGTCTGGCTGCCTTTGACTGACTTCCACAGATGCTAGCAGTCTCTCTCCCACCAAAAGCTTGTTCCTTGCATTAGTTTCATGAATGGGGATTACACTGTTCTGCCTTAACTGCAAGACAGACTGGAGATGGAGGAAAAAATAAAAACAATTTGTGTATCTGCCCCTGTTGTTGAAAGGAGTGGGAGTAAGGGGGAAGGTGCTGAAGAATTTCATTGGTTTATAATTATTTTTTTCTTAGCTTATCATTGACCTAAAAAACATCACTGGACAGTTTTAAGCCACAACAAACACAAGTTAGCACAGGTTTAGAGAAGCTCCACAGGGCAACAAGAATATTGCACACACAAATGCAAGAAGGGAAGATTTTCTGATTCTCAGACCAGAAATTATGAAAAGCAAAGAGGCTTGGAGGCAGGGGAAATGGTGGTAATCACACATCAAATACATTGTTTGAAGCTCTTAGGACATGGGGGAGCTGAAATAGCTTTACAGAAGGTAAGAGAATCCTAGCGTTCTTGGGATGCAGATATTCTGTTTTCCTGTAAATGCAAGAAGAAAACATTTTCCTATCACAGTGAAACAAACAAATGACATGGATGAGCCATGGCACTGAAGTTCTCTCAAATCCAGTTACACTGTAAAAGATGGAAACCAGTTTGTCCATGTCACTTCTCGACAAATAAATCATCACCCCAAATTCCCCAGTCATGACAACACAGAAGTCAGTATACAATTCCTAATCATGAAAGGTGCCTGAAACAAACTTTCGTGCGGTATCTAAATCCCATTTTTAAAATGTCTGCAGAAAACCCAGTCTGAAATACCAATGTCAAATTCTACATTAAAAATACCACTACTGAATTTACTGAAAGTAATCTCCAAAGCAAGGTCCAAGGGATGCACAGCCTTCCCCAGGAGGTGAATGCAGATAAAATACAGTGTGAGGACTGTCCTGAAACAAGAGAAAAGCAGACAGGGTCGCCATGACAACAGTAGGATTACTGCAGGTAACAAAACTAAGGCAGGAAAAGAAAGAACAGCAAGACAAGATTTAAGCAGAAAACAGTTCATTAATTGCACAGACAGTCCAGCCTGTCTCCCTGTTGGGGGTTTATAATACAGAGATTGTTTCTCACTGGATTGACAGTTTTTTTTAAAAGGACAAAGATCACAGCCACAAATGTGGCATAGAGCAACAGTCAGAAAAATAAATTAATAAATAAAGCCATGAAAAGTCTGCTTCTTTTTTCTCATGAAGCCTTGGAGAGGAAGGGATTGGCTTCACTTGGACTCCTTTGCTTTTAGTCAGCATTTCAGAATTTCTTGGATAAACTGGATTTTCTTCGTTATTTTAGTTGCCAAACATCCTGACCTCCTGGCTATGAAGAAATTTCAAGGCAGTTTCTCCAAACTCCTCTTTCAAGACTTTGTTTAGAGACAGGAAGTTGAAGACCATTGGGAAAAAAATGTTAAAACTGTGGCCAGCACATTGCTAAGAATTGGAGCAAGTCAGTTGTAGAAGCCTGAGGAAATCAATTCATAAAGGTGCCCCCACCAGCCCTAGACCAGTGTGATGATAGCATTGGTCTGAAGCACTCTCTGTGGTCCTTCTCTTGAGATTACTTCTGTGTATTCACAAACTCCTGAAAGCCACCCCTCTTAGAGCTTTTTGTCCATGCGTCGTTCCACAGCTTGTAGCAATAGCTCTGAGTACTGTTCCAGCAAAGCCAATGTCTGCTCATCTCCCAAACTCATAGGACTCGGTAGATTGGCACCACATCCCTCATTCAGTGAGCTAGTGGTATCCTGTGGCTTCGCCAGTACCTCCTTAACATTTGGAAGCTCTTCCTCATCCTTCAGAGAGTCCAGTTCTTTCTTCATTGAGGAGAATGTTTCTGTCAGGAGGCCTGCTATTTTGTCTTTGTCAGTAGAAGACTCTCTATCATTTAATACCTGAAAATAAAGAGGAAGGGTGGGGAAGAATGCATTGGAGTTTAGGTAGAGCACCAAGTAAGCAGTTTCAGCCCTTTAGGGCAGTGATGCCATGAAGATTTGCAGACCAATCAAGTGTCCTTTCCTTCAACATTTGAGACTGCCTGTTTAGTCATATAGCAGGGCATGCATCCAATACTGCTGGTCACACAAAACCCAGAGGCATTTACTCCAGTAGGACAGAGATGGGAAGCATATTTTTGAGTATTGTTCCCCTTTTACTGGGCTTAAGGAGGTGCTATGTTTCCCAGCTGCAGCACAGGGCCACAGTCTCCTTTCCCTCCTGTCTGCCAGACACAGCTGGTCACAGGAACAAAGCAAGGTCAGAGAGCTAATGCAAGTAGTGGCCAGAGCTCCAGAGGGCCACATGGCAGATGCTCACTGTGGAAGTTTCATGCTCATTATAGAAGACTTGACAGATCAGTGCTAAGCTAAGAAATGAGGAGCTGTTATACTGCTCTACATATATCTCTGGTCTGGCAGTGAGAGGGACAGGCAAATGGTTGCATGTTCCCTCTCACAGCTGCATTCTCATGGTATCTCACATTGGCCAATCCTCTTCCCAGGCACCAAAGACAGAGAACAGATGGGGATAATAAAACTTCAAGTCCTATAATATTTCATATCCCTGAAGCACTGTATAAATATTAACTAATTCCCTAATACCCCTTTGAAAAAGAGCATACTCTTATCTTCAGTCTACAGATAGGCTCAACAGACTGAAAAGTTAATTGATTTGCTCAGAGTACCACAGCAAACCACTGGAAAATCCAAAAGCTGGAAATCAGGAGTTCCTGCCTCCCTGGTTCAAGCTTAAGGTGCAGTCAAGTGGGCCACCAGGCAGCTTGTGTCAGTGAACATCCAGTCAAGAGAACACCTTGAGCCAGCAAGCACATACATTCAACGTTTGTGAGCTGTAAAGCCAAGCTACCATACCAGAGCCCATGTCTGTGGTCACTCACCATGCGGTAAAGCTGAATGGCTTTGCGCATGCTGTCCTGGAGCTCGGATACCACGTGCTCACACTGCTCTATGCTGACGCACGGTTCTGAATGGGAGGAAAAAAATAAAAGCACAAATTAAGGCAGAGACACACGCCACTACCCATGATCTCACAGTTGGGTAAGAAAAAGGAGGTTTAAAACATATTTGAAAACCATGTGCACACACTTATCATACAACTTTTAGGGCTTGTTTGAGCAAATAAATAGGCAAGTTCTACATGAGCTTTCCTTCATACTACCTAGAGATACTGTTTGTTTCAAACATCACTATTTTTCCAGTCTGTAGACTCTCCAAAGGCAGGACTGTTTTTTCTCAGATTGCATATTTTTGTTACAGTCAAGGATAGTCACAGATTACCCATGCGATTTTCAATTACGATTAGTCAAGTTTGTCTAAAGATCTGAGGAGCCTCTAATTTAGCTTTCACCTAGTTGGATATCTATAAGCTTCCTCTCAAATATCTTTCTACACAGTGTAGAACTAAGCACTGAGGATGATGGATCATACTGAATTATTAGAGTGTTCTCCAGTGAGGACTGAGTTTCACATGACTGCTGACAAACAAACTCAGCCACAAGAGAATCACATTTCTGAGCAACCCAGTACATACACTGCTGATACACCATAATTCAAAATGAGAAATAAAAGCAAGCAACTGAGGGACAGCATCTTCTGCCTGTCCTCACCAGATTTATCTCTGAACCATCAGAGTTGGACTGCAATCTTTTAGTAAAATAAACACTCTCATGAATTAGACATAAACCATGAACAAAAACACAGACACATACACACACTGCAGTTATCTTCAAATTGCAAAGGCCTGCACAAAGGCCTTTCAACCTCCTTTAGTTATCTACAACCAAAACTTGGTCACATTAGCACTATTATTTCTGCAGTTCTAAGAACATTATCTTTGAACAGGCTGGAGGAGACATGAGCTAAATTTATGAATACATCTAGATGATGTATAAACAAATACAGCTAGAAAAACATCTATTTACACATAAACAAACACATCTAATAGAACAAAAAGGGCATGAACAAATCCTTCCATCTGCATCTTTTGATCACAAATCACCCATGGAGTTGGAGCACAGTGGGCTTCAGTGCACGCCAAGATTCTTGCCTAAAAAGGCAGTTGTTGTGTTGCTCCCCCCACCCTTTCCTCTTTATGTTTAAAACACAGCTGTTTCTTTTCATGATTGCTTCTGGATTTGTTCACTGATCATTCTTTTTATGCTGGTCTCTAGGTCTGTGAGCTGCCAGTATGGAGAAAGGTCATAAAATAAATGCTTAAGTAACAGACATTTTCTGCCTCTTGGGTGTGCAGAGCTCTTCAGAAACCAGCATAGAATATTAAACACAGAAACAGTATTAAGCATATCTGCAGCATTTTAACTGTAGATGTCAAAATGCTTTAACAAAAATAATTAATGCTCTTCATCTGCAGATGTTATACAAGCAGGAAAATGAAAGGACAGAAAAATTTAGTGAAAACCCAAAGTCACAGAGCAGTCAGAAGCAGAATGGGTCTCTGTCAACCCTACAGTTTTAGTCTACACTGCCACATGACGATTCACAGAAGCCACAGTAAGTTGTTCACAGCAATACCCAACTTGGATCTAAACAGTTTTTCCAGCATCTACCAGTAAAAATTTGGGAAACATGGTCCACAAAAAGCTGAAGACTGACAGCTGTCTACTGAGAAAAAAATAAACAACATTGGGGATCCACGGTGTTAAATCACCCTAACTCGCTAAAGGATGCTGTTAAATATTGTGTCAGGGTGTGCTATGTCTTGGGAGCTGTTTTTAAAAAAAAATAATCACTACTGGAAAAAAAAAAAACCTGCTCTGTGTTAATACTGAAAACTGACAAAAAAAATTTATATGTAGCCTGATTCCCAAATCCAGAAGAGAAAGCTCAATGTAAAAACTACAGACAACTACAACTCTGCAGTAGAATGTGATTCCACAGCTTCAGGCTGCATCTGCTGCTGGAGGAAACCTCTCCCCTCTGAGGGGAGGGTCTGATAGTTTCAGACAGCACACACTGTTCTTCAGAGCAGCTACAGTATGAGAACAGCAGGTCCCTAGACAAAACATCCCATTTCCTGCTTTAGGTAACAGTGCTTCAGTCTTCAGGTGTTTGATCCCTCTAGAAATCCAAAATGAAAAATAACAGTGCATCAAAACCAGATTATCCTCCAATTCTTCAGCGCAGAAATGTTCTGCTTAACCATTGTGATGAATGGTGCAGCAGCCTGGCAACACAGAAGGTAATTGATCAGAGGATTAGCGAAATATCCCTTTTCAGATATGAGTAAAAACAACATAGCAAAAACGATTAAATAAAAACTGTGCACTGTGTCCCTGAAGGTACAAGGTACCAGTGCAGTGGTTAACATCCAGCTTTCTACTGCATGACTCATCTGAGTATTTCAGAAGGGTGTATTTCCTTTCAGATTGTGACAAAAAAAGTAAAACCTCTGGCGGTTTTAGTCCTACAGCAGATGATATGGAACTAAACTGTGTTATCACTGCCACTGGAGGTTTTCCTGCCTTGAAAGGCAGGATTTTTGCTTCAGTTTGAAGTTACATGCTAGTTTTCAATTGATTGAAGCACCTTAAACCAGGGCCTGTAAGAGATCTAAGAGCTGTTTTCAGCAGGTGAAACAGTTTCTCACCTCATACCTTTTCCTCCAAACTAGTGATAACTCAAAATTTAATCTATATTCTTCATACTCAAACACCCAAAGGCTGGGCATGCACATGCACTGCATATCCATTTTGCAGACATGTCCTCAAAGCAGGCATCAGTCCAGCAGCACAGAGACCTTCTTGCTCTCACAGGTGGCTACAGCAAGCTCACCATGGTTAAGCCTTATCTCATGCAAGAAAATTGTATGCAAACCCTCTGGACCCTGCACACTTGCATATTAAAAAAGTAAAGCTTGAGCTGCCTGGCTTAACTTCACTGCAAGTGTATCTGTGCTTACTTGGTTCAACTAGCACATGTTGGCCTGCACTTTCATCTGCTGGTCAGATAGACTGAGAGGGGCACAGGGGAAGTGACTTACACTCTCATGGGGATTCCCCAGCATGTCAACTTTTAGCATTGCCCAGAAAGAGGCTTGAGCCCCTACAGGTAATTTGACAGCTAAATTACTAAAAACATGACAATGCTGAGGTCTACAAAACATTCAGCTAAAAGGGACTGTCAGACACAAGACCCAGAGGAAATGGAAACTAAAGACTGAGAAAAAGATGTTAGGTTGAAGAAGTGTCTCACCATTGACGGGATGGCTTATGGAACGAGACAGGTGCAGACAGGACGAGACAGGCCAGAAGCTGGACGTAAAGAAATGTGATGGGATCGTGAGGCGGTTCACAAAGACAGGAAACAGAAGGGGGAAGATAAGAGGTGGGTATCCATGCACACCTGAGACCTGTGCCAAGGCAGTTATAGATGTAGGAGACCTCGGCCTGATGGGGTCTAGTGGGCAAAGTCCAGGTTGGTTGTCTAGCACACAGGCAATGCCGGTGATCCTCTCCCTGCACCTGGGCAGTGTGCCCTCAGGAGATCTTAGGTGCCGGCCCTCTGACAACTCCCTCAGTTTTAGATTAGTGACCCCTGGCTCATCCTGCAAATCTGTCCTTGAGACTAGACTCTCCACTGGGCTCTCCTTAGCAAGCCCCGTTGGGATCTCTCTACCAGGAGCCAGAGACCCAGCAGTTTGATTCTCCCTCTTGGAGGCTCGGACCTCAGGAAAAGAGGGTTTCTTTTTAGAGGTCCCAGCAGGTGACTGTGGAGACTGTGGCTCAAGCAGGGTTTTTGTTTTGGTAGTGGGTGAGAAGGAGGCCAGTGTAGGTCTATCAGGCAATGGTTTGGGAATGTCAAGAATCAGATGTGCTCGGTTTGATGATGCCAACTTGCTGTGGAAGGACTTGGGAGATGTGCAGTTTACAACTGGCTGAAGCATGGGTTTCACTGGAACATTCTCTTTCACAGGTAGCTTAATCTTGTCAGCATCTGCTGTGGAACTAAGTTGAGTCTTCTCTGTCACTGGAGGGCTAGTCCTCCCATCAGTCAACATTTCAGTGGAGTAGCCAAGGTACAGATTTTCCCCTACAGATACACTCCTTGACATCTTAGCCCGGAAGCTGGTTGTAGGGTTCATGTAGGACTTTGGTTTTGCAGCCCTGACCTCTTTGGCCAGCAGAGCACCAGATCCATCCATCTTCAACATACTGGCTGATAACACCCTGCAATTGTTAGGTCTGGGATCCTTCTCAACCACCAAAAGAGTCTGAGGACGCTGCTTGGCAGAGGATATCACTCCAGGACCCTTATCTGTGAAAATTAAACAGACAAACATGCCAAAAATAGCCAAGAGCCTGCAATGAATTCCTAAATTGGAAAGGAACAGAGCTGTTCCAGCCTATGTGCCTCAGCTCAGCTCCTGGAAGATGTGTACAAAACCACTACCTTAAGGTTTGTATCACCAAGCCTCAACAGCTTTCTTTTTTTTTTTCCCCCATCCCTGATCCTGCTCACACAGTGCTGCTTTCCTGATGAAAGAGATTTGTTCTTAAAGTGTATGGTCACAAGACCTCAGACCACTGTGACTGTTAACAGAGAGGCCAGAAGAAGCAGGCAAAAACTTACATATGCTGTTGTGGTGATTAGGTGGGGTGTTAATTTTTTAAAACAAGCTGCATGATTATTGATCATTCATGAGTTGACTGTTTCAAAAATAGAGTCACAAAGAGGGTATGGATACAGTAAGCTCCCTCCTACTGCTTCTCCCTCTCTCTCCTCCACACCATGGGAAGCTTCAGTCTTGGCTTGGAACAACTACCCGCAGCAAGAGAGAATTTCTTTGTAAACACTTAATTTCACCCTTGCCAATGCTCCTCCCACAGCTGCCAGACAAGTATCAGAGACTTATAATTAGGAGACCAGCATCTGCATTACAAATTAAAAATATTATCCCTTGACAGGCTAAGAGTTAGAAGACATGCAAAGCCTGTAAGCTCAGAATGCAGAAAGACATAAGATTAATTTAAATCTCTACTGAAATGTTCCCATTTAATTCTTAGGTTTATACGACCATTCCAACCTGTGTCCTTACCCTCATGCACGAGGTCATGAACTGACTGCGCCTTTCTCATCACTGCATTCACAGGGCCTTCTGGAAAGGAGGCAATAACCCGTCCAGGAGCCATACCAATTCTGCCAGCCTCTAAAGCTGCTCTGCGTTTTTTCTGGACATAAATAGCCCGATTTGAATTTACACTCTCCAGGAGCTGGCTGCTCTCCAATGCATCACCAGGACGGCTGCTGTCATTTTTCGACAGGTCTGGTGTAAACTGATTGGTCTGAGTTGGAGGCTCAATGGGCTTTGAATCCAGTATCAGATTTGATGAAGAGAGCGACAATTGTCTAGAGAACATAACAAAGAAATCCCAGTTAAAACAAGTAAGTATGTTGCCCTGGATAAACAGAAACATGCATTAAGCCAATTTCTCTGGGATAAAGAGCCCTTCCCTATTTGGATTTTTAAAGTAAAAAAATGCCCTAAGCTGTTACCACTTCATTCTACTTAACCTTGCAAGTTCTGGTCTTCAGGCATTTGATCTTATGCTACGCAATCACAAATAGCATTGGGTTGCTGTTTCCGGGCAGGACACCATAAAAGGAGAAGGCAAAAGAGAAGGAAAAATTCCAGGCATAGGGAAGACTGGGCAAAGTCAGGGTCAGGTCTTTTCTCTCAGCTCACCTTACTAACAGTTAAATCTTTTCAATTCTAAGGGACCTTAAGAGGAAGTACTTATGCTTTCCTAACATTATGCAAGTATAATGACTAGGTCAGTATCTTCAAGAGGAAAGCCTAATTTCCTCTTCCTCTCCACTTCAGACAAGCACAGTGGGCTTACTTCAGAAAGGAGGCAACTTTCAATCTGTTGTGTTTGAACTGCTGAACAGGTTAAAAGTCCAGAGGTCTTCATAACCAAATACTACTTCCCTTGTTACATCTCTAGAGCACCAGTGGCTTCCTTGTCTCATCACTGCGGCTCTCCAGAAGCTTACACAATAAGATAACCACTGGCTTTCCCAAACATTGGACATTGGACTGTCCCAATGTGAGACAGACTAAGAACCACTCCTGCAGCAATAACAGCAGCTGAATACAGCTATAACAAACAAATTTCCCTAACGTGGTGAATCTAGACACAGCTGGTAACCATAAAAGATGTATTCAGATCTTCTCAGTACTACAGAATGAAAATCATTTGAGCTTTCAGGTTGTCATTTTAAAGGAACGCAGGAGTATTCGTTTAAAACATTTATGAACCCAAATCGACAAAACTATTTACCTCAATTTTTTTCTTTGTTTGTTTTGCTGGTATTTTTTTTAACAAGGGAAACAGCTTGGAGAGGCCTTTTGGGGTGCTTAAGGTTTGAGGGGATTTTGGAAGAATAATATCCCCATGGGGCTTTGTATGAGACACCAGAACAACCTGTGAAGGCATGGGACCAAGAAACAAAGCTGAGTAAGAAAGGACTATAAAACAAAGGAAAAGTTGACAAGTCTACTTTCATTGTCCAAGCTGAATGAAATGCAAAAGAATAAACAGAGCATAAACAGCGAAGAGTAAATTAGATTATTAGTGATTCTTCCAACTTAATCAATCAAGGCATTAATCATGAAACAATTAAGCACACTGTTGAAAGAGGAAAAAGAGCAAAACAATAGTGTTGCCTTAGGAAGAAACAGAACAACTAAAGTGACCCAGGACAGGCCGTCCAAATCACAAGGGTCTGCAACCAGTCTCCAGGTGCTATGCTAACACTTTGCTGTGCCTAGGCACACCAAGGGCAGAAATTTGCTCAACTGCTTTCACCCAGGACACAGCATGAGACCTACTCATATTAGTAAAATGACAGAAACAGACAGAAACACTCAAAACAAGCAGAGCCATACCTGAGAGCTGGGGACTGAGAAAGAAAGCGAGAGGAAATGCTGAGGTTTTCAGTCCTTTCCAGATTCCTACATGAGCCACCTAAAAGTTGTGGTTAAAGGAAAGAGAAAAATGAGCCGTTTAGTTACAGGACAAACATTCTGACACATGCATTTTCTTGTTATAGAGACTATGAAGTCCTCATATCCAAGGGGACTTTTTTTTTTTTTTTTTAGCTAAAACCACAGAGAATAAAATAATTATATTTCCTTTGCCTTTTCTGTTCTACTTAGATTACTCTGCCTTAAACTGCTACTTTCCCTAAGGGTAGACCTCTTTCTTTCTTGCTTCCCTTTGTGTCCTATCCTGCCTGTAGGACTGTGAGGTACTGCCATCAAGCAGAAAACAAACCAATCAAAAGGGGGGGGAAAGGGGGATGAAGGGGGGGATG